ATGAGATCGTCCGCGATGAGGAAGAGGAAAACGCGAAGATCATGCACGTGGCTAAGAAACAGATAACTGGTGACAAATCTAGTAAACATATTAGCTGGATTAAACCCAGTGGAGCACAATCTGGTGGAGCTAAATGCAGTGAAGGAGGAAGCAAAGCCAATCAAAAGTCTGGTCCTGGTCAACGAAAGAAGGGCAAGTGCTTCTATTGTGATAAAGAAGGCCATCACAAATTTGAGTGTCGTAAGCTCAAATTTGATCTGAAGCACGGCAACGTAGATGCTAAAAATGCAAAGTGTGGCAACAATTCTGGGGATAGCTCTAGAGGATATGGGGAAACAAAGGTGGACCTCCTCAGCCGTCACCATTGGGAATGATCGGTCGTGTTGAAAATACTTGTGCTGTGTCAAGTACTGGGTCTACATTATTGTCGACGTCTGATACCTCTAATTCGTTGGAGAGGATATTAGACACAGCAGCTATTAAGCATACCTGCGCTGACCGGTCACTGATGACACAGTTCCCGCACTACGTGGAGACGAACACGCCACATGAATCGTGGACAGGAGAAGTAACAACGGAACATTTGGTGTCTCAATTGCCTGTATCTTTCCTATCCACACAAGATAGACGTGGCGAAACTGGAGAAGCGCTTGACTGCGTTCTTACTGGAGTCCGTAATGTTGTTGGATGCCACGTTAATCTGCTAAGTGTTAATGCACTTGAAGAGCAAGGCTATCAATGTGAGTCACAGTATCCTCAGGGCGGACCTCCAAGACGGCTGTTATGGAAGGGGCTGACAGCAATAGTGTTTGTCAAGAGTCGAGGTTACTATCGCACTCGTGGTTTGTGTAATTCACCTCAAGTTGTTGCATCATTTGTGGCTGGAGGTGAATCGATATTTCGGTGGCATATTCGCTTTAATCATGTGTATTTTGCAGCATTGCAGCAGCTCCACCGTGATCAAATGGTTACAGGCATGATGATCTCTCCTAGTGAGCGCACTAGAGATGCGATGGATTGCCTAAGCTGTACATTAGCAAAATCGCGAAGAATGTCATACAAGAACGTGTCTCCATGTCGATCAATGAGGTGTTGTGAAACACTGATGACCGACGTCTGTCACTATGGTGAGGTTTCGGCTGCTGGAAACGTGATGTTTAAGCTCGTGGAGGATGAATACTCACGATACCTATGGAGCTTCTTATTCCGTCAAAAGTCTCAATGTACAGACAACTTGAAGACGTTGATCTTACAGCTAAAGCAATGTGAGCGACCTGTCAAATTCCTGGGGTCTGATCAAGGAACTGAGTTTGTAAATCACAAGCTACAGCAAGCCCTCCGAGACAATGGAGTTCGTCCGCTGTATACAAATACGTATACACTTGAAGAAAACAGTCTCGTCGAAAAGATGAATGGTGCAGTACTGCGATCCGTTCGCGCTCTCCTCGTAACCAGTAGACTTCCAACAAAACTATGGGGAGAGGCATTCAAGTTTGTGGTAACAATACGCAACTTCTCACCGTCCAAAGCCATTAATGGCAGTACACCTTACGAGCTATTTGAAGGTCGTATACCTGATGTATCTGGTCTACGTGTGTGGGGCTGTGCTTCAACGTACTTCGTCCCTAAGCAAAGACGGAAAGGTAAACAAGATACGACAGCGAAAGAGGCATTATTTCTAGGATATCCTAAATCCACGACTGGATATCGTGTCCTCGATCTTGTTACCGGACACATTGCGGAGTCTCGTGACGTAAAGTTTTGCGAACAGTGGACAGAGGCAGCTGATTAAGTGGATCAGTTGCTTGACAAGTTCTACGCGAAGAAGCCTGGTGTGGTGCTACCTGTTTCAATCCCCGTATGTGAGACTTCCTTTTATGACCACTCGAGCTCCTGTAGCAGCGATGAAACTGCACTGGCATTGCATAGCTCCGAATGAGTCGGTCCTATGGATGCTAAGGTTGGGGGCGATGTAGTGGAAAAGACGAAAGTTAGAAGAGCGGGGTAGCTTGAGTTTGATAAAATCAACTCAGGTCCAGCAAAACGCAGACAAACAGGGGAGCTAGCGCAGACTTACGATACTCCAAATTGTGACTCCACTTCTACAATTCGTGTCGATGGACATGAAGATGATAGGAGAGGTACAAAACATGTTGAAAAGAAGCGACGACCGGGTTTGGTTGAAGTTAAGCGACGTCGGAAAACACACACCAAAGACCCAATTGTTACGCTTCGCAGATCAACACGTACATGTCGTCCAAATGTAAGGCTACATGACTATTCGCTTGCCATTTACTTCATCTCAACTACGGACAAGCTGCCCAGTCACTTCGTGCAGCGCATGCAGGTCCTGATGGTGATAAATGGTGGCAAGCTTTGCAAATGGAATTCTCTGACATACAAGCGAATCATACGTGGATTTTAGTGAATCGTCCGTCGTACACTAAGATCATGACCAGTCGCTGGGTGTTTGTCATCAAAAGAATCAAAACGGAGAAATTATACGCTACAAAGCTCGACTTACTCTCCGGGGTTTCGAGCAAGTGTTTGGTTCAGACTATTGGGAAGTATCCTCTCCAGTCGTGAGCATGAAGGCAATCCGTGTTGTCATTGTGCTCGCATTCTACTATGACCTGGCGCTTCGCCAAAAAAAATTGACTTCACTACGGCATTTCTAAACGGTGAGATGGATGTCGACGTGTATGTGGAGCGACCAGAGTTGTTCGACGATGGCACTGGTCATGTGTGCTTGTTGAAGCAGAGCTTATATGGCTTAAAGCGGGCTCCTCGGATCTGGAACGCAACTTTGAAGAGATATCGAGTGAAGCTTGGTTTCAAATCCAGCATAATTGCAGATGGCGTTTACGTCAAGTGGGTCGATGACTCTCCTATCTTCCTTACAGTCTACGTTGATGATGTCGTTATTGCGGCTAAAACTGAGAGTTTTACGTGGCTAATTTCACAGTTGAAGAGTGAATTTAAGCTAAAGGACTTGGGGGAGATCAACCTCTTGCTGGCTATGTATGTAAAAGTTGAACCGACACGAGTCACGTTGTCACAAGCGTCGTACATTCAGCACAAAAGTATGGCGATCACACTGCTCGTGTGGTCCGTACTCCAATGGACCCAAAAGTAAAACCTGTGAGACCCAGGAAACCCTACGAACCTGACTTAAACAGAAGTGATCTACCATTTCGCCAAATTATTGGTTCCCTACAGTGTTTGGTGCGTCGTACGCGACCCGATATCGCGAACGCGGTTCGTGTCTTGAGCAAGTTTCTTGACTGTTATACAGAGGAACATTTTGGACTGGCTCAGCGCGTTCTTACGTATTTGAAGGGGACTAGTTCCTATGGATTGGTGCTACCAAACGTTTCTGCAAAGGGCAATCTTTCTATCGTTGGGTATACTGATGCTGACCTCGGCAATGATATGGACACTCGTCGATCTGTTACTGGCCAAGTTGTAACACTTGGTGGATGTGTTGTAGCATATCAAAGAAAGCTACAGCACAGTGCAGTTAAAGATACATGCAGTGCTGAGCTCACAGCAGCCAGTTGCTGTGCAGATCGAATTCGATGGCTACAAAACTTGTTAGTCGAACTACAAGTTCCTGTCGAGCTTCCAGCTCTTCTCTGGACGGACAATGCTGCCGCTGTTCAGGTCATGACGCTTTCCAGCGGACATCACAAAATCAAGTGTCTAGACTTGGTGGTATACAAGGTTATTGACTATGTCGATGCTGGTTACATTGTGATAAAACACATGCCGTCTAAGGTCATGCCTGCTGATGCCTTAACCAAGCCATTGGGTAAGAGCAAGTTTCGCCAACATCGAAAGCAGCTTGGTGTCGAATGCCTGTGTACTCAAGTTGATGGGGATACAGATGAAGAACCAGAACTACAATCCGACCCAGATGACGCTCAAACAAGCTAAGGAAGACTTCGAGTTTCAGGGGAGTATGAGAACTGGACGACACAGTCTCAGAAACCAGAAGTCTTTTTAGTATTGGTAGTCACTCGCCCGTTAGATACTTGGTTGACATTTTTTTTTTCTAACGGAGTCCACCAAGGGTGAAGCATCAGCAATTCCCGATCTGCCAAGTGTGGGGCGAGTAGTGTGTTAACGCTTACTTCTTCCGTCGTGCTCACTGTCCAGACATCGTACACGACCTCTGCAAGTGAACGAGTAGGAGACGTTCGCTGTTAATATCATTCCCGCTAATTAGTCCGGGATATCGTCAAGCTCCACCACTTTTATACCGTCGAATTCATGGAATAGGACGAATGCGATAATTGTGTAGTCTTACCAGTAGGGCGAAAGAGGACTCCATTATCTTTTGTGTCTCGAATCGCTGTAGTTAAATAGCGTTAGCATTATCAAGCACGTGTAGTTTTGTAGACTATACGCCGAATTAACGCTGCCACTCACAACAACCAGAATTTTGTTCGACATGTTACTGTCGTAATGTACTAAACAAAATAGTCGAAAGATCAGTTTGAAACTTGCGTTGGCAGTACATATACTGTGGTCATTTTTTGCTACTTCTTCGTCGGGCTCAAAGCGCTTTCCTTTTTCTCAATATTAATGTTAGCATTTGAGACCACGTAGCATTGTCATTGTTCTATTGAGGTCATTCTTGCAATTGGACGTGTCTTGTGCGTACATGTATTCAAAAATACAAAGAGCCATCTAAAACAATTTCAAGAACCCATAAAGGCATGCGTCAAATGGCAGCAGTTGGGTTCAAAAAACATCGGAACCTTACTCAGCTGGATGTCTTGTGCAGTAGATATACTTCTTGATAAATACTCGGTTGATGAAGCAAAGGTAGACCGCTGAGCGTTCTCCAGCTTGAAGCAGATGATGACACGTTATAGAAGCAGTCGGCTGACTAGATGTACGTGTGGAAGCATCAGTGAGACATCGTAGCAACTTTTGTAAGCCTTTTCACCGCGCTAACAGCTCCACCAAAATGCACTCAACAATGGGCAGTCCCCTCACACAGCAATTCCGAATGTCGGTCGAGTTTCTTCCATCATTACACTCTGTTGTGATTGTAGATAGCGACGATAGAGATTGCTAAGTTCCTGGAACGCTGACTCCTCAGCGAACGAAGAGCTTTGCATCGGACGCCTGTCCTCGTCGTCGACATAAAGCTGCTGGAATGTCCGAAGCACCGATGCGTCTTTAGGAGCGTCGGCCGACGGGGTGATGAACATCCACGTCTGGTTCCGAAACTGCAACTTGTACTGGCAACCGCAAGCTATCGGCCCAAACGACCACAATGCGGTCTGCCTCCTCGTATCTGCGTACAAAGTTCTGCTTTCTGACATCCAACGTGCCGATTGAACTCTCCAGTACTAACGTGTAGTTTCTCTCCAAAGTATTTGGTCGCTCTCGAACGGGCTGCATATTAAATAGATTTAGTCGTTCATACTTTCTAAGAATAGAAAAACCATCTCCAGAGTGTCTCACTCGCCACCTTTAGGGGACACAACATTCCACCTTTAGGGGACACAACATTGGTGTGGTGGACATGATTTCCACCGTGCGTGGTTCTGCTTCACCATCGCTTCCACATTGATCGAGCTCGCCTTGTCGGTCTTAAAAAACACGGTGTCAGCTCTGAGATACAGACTCTCGACTCTCTTCTCCAGTAACGTCATGCTGTAGAGCCCATCAGCCAATGGTCTGCATGGATCTGGATGCAGGAAGTCCATGTCTTCCAGTATTGCCGTCTTCTGTAGCAGCGTTCTCAAAGCTTCACTGACTTTGATCTGGTTGGCCATAATACTTTTCAACTTTAAGTTGGTCTTCTCGGCTTGTAATCGGCCTCTATACTGCACAGCGGCGTGATCGGCCCAGCTTTGTGGCAGATGATCTGATGTCATTAGTAGAGCGTCTTCAACGTCGTCAAGAGCGTATTTAGCGCCTGGAACCTTCTGAAGTTGCGCCAACTGCACCTCCAGTTGCTCCACTTGAGTCCGTAGCGCAAGGATCTCAGCCTTCTTGCGCCGCTGCAGCACAGTTGACGAGCTGTTGGGGTATTGGCGTCGCGGTTTCTTGCTTCGAGAGCCTTGGTCTTGTTGCTGCTTGTGCTGCGGAGTAAGGCATCGCGCTGGCGCGTGGGATGTTAAGAGGGGGGAATCGATGCTACTCTTTATCGTTGGGGCCTCCCAGGTGTCTAGGAAAGCCAGCGTCGCCTGCAGGGTCGCGGACTCGTCGACATCGGCGACCAAGATGCTGCTCATGGCGGTATTTGCGGAATGATGGATGATTCACCCAAAGGTCCAGACGTAATCATGACCATCACTCTTGCTCTCGACAGTATACTGTACCGGTAATACATGTATTTTAAATTCTAATATGATCCCGGAGTTTCGCGGCGGTCGCATCGGCTTCTTTCAATTTATCACTCTTGGTCTTGAGTCAAGACTCTTGGCAGTATAATACATGTATTTTAGATTCTAAAAGCTTATCGAACATTGGATAAAATTCGTTAGGCTCTGGATTTTTATTTGCCAATGCTAAAGTTTTAAGCACTAAAATAATCGGAAATGCTACAGTCCATGCGTCAAATCCGCTTATTTTCCATGTAACACTCCATGTAATGTCCATGATGTAAAATATTTTCATTCGGTAATTTATAAAAACAACCCAGTCGTTGAGTGCAATTATTGTCCAACTCTCATCCGTGTATTGTCCACGATGTGATCTATGTAGTTAATACCGGTACAATACTGTATACCGGTAGTTGTACCAATCACACCAGCCTTTCATTTGCTTTTCAAACTTAAACTCGCCCCCCTTCGAGCATTGCCGCCGCCGCCGCTCCGTTACCTGCACGCCGCAGCCTACGTCACGAGATCAACCGTTGCTGCAATCGCCGGCCATGTCGCTCAGTCTACCCGCTTCCGCGACGTCTGAGGTGCGTTATCTTGCTGTTTGTGGTCTCTGTGAGCGTGTTTCTAACAGTGCGTTATCTATTTGTAAATACAGGGTGGATCGTCCGACTCCTCTTCAGATATCGACACCACGGCTTCCGCAGCCTCCGGCGCGGCTGCAAACTCGGACGACGCCTCGCCTGACACGGACGATTTCAAGCGTCCATGTATTGTCCAGGTCGTAGACTCTCCCTCCCTTGTGGAGGCCCCCGCAGACGTGACGTATCCGAGCTGGTCGGCGTGGAATGAGTATTTGAAGGCTTACTCGGTATAGTCCCGCCAGGTCATCCGCATCCAGTCAACGCTTAGTTGCGTATTGAGAAACAAGCGGCTGGGTCAAACAGCGGCAGCAAAGCAGGGAATGGATATTCCGTACGTACCAGAGACGTGGGGTGCTTACCAACGCACATACATCTGCACACATGGCTGGCCAGCAAAAGACAGGAGCAGCGGATTGCGAACCAAGCACTTCGTCCGAGGATGCGGTTGTCTATTTCGATTTGTGGTGCAGCTCGTGCAAGTTGACGGGTTATGCTGCCTTCACGTGAAGAACGGTGTGTACCAGCACAACCATGCGGTGGGGACAGCGCAGTTCAAGACGTACGCGGAGAACCGTAGGTTGGACGACACGGACACGAAGGATGCTGTGGACAGCACGGTGATGTACGGTAGAAAGCGCGCACGCATCTATGAGTATCTTCTGGGGAGAGGCGAGAACCTCGTCAAGAAGGATGTGGACAACATTGTGCAACGTGTTAAAGCAGAGATAAGAGGAGGGTTGAATGACGACGAAGCTTGCGCCGCAACTCTCGCGGAATTCGTAGCTATTGACGGTAACGTAGTCACGGTGGACGAAACTGATGCGGGACACTCTGGTGTGATCAGTATGACTTCCAGACATATGCGCGACATGGTTACTAGGTTTCCAGAGCTTTTGCTTGTGGACTGTACCCACAAAACGAATCGGTAAGTCCTTCCATGTATTGTGCAATTATTTGTCCATGTATTGTCCATGCTTATTTTAATGTCATGCCCATGTATTGTGCGATTCTTGTCCATGTAATGTGCATTAGATACAACTACCAGCTTTGTACCTTCATGATGATAGATGACAATGGGCGTGGGCAGCCTGTACAACAGTCTTTGCTCGAACGAAACGCCGATTGGCAGATGTCCCGAGCGCTGGATCATCTATTTCGGATTGACGATAAGATTGGCGACAAGGTTCAAGTTATAATGGTCGACAAAGATCTGAATGAGATCCGCGTGTTGCGTCGGTACTTCCCTAAGTCGCGCGTGTTGATTTGCGTCTTTCACGTCATCAAATATCTCCGCACAGCGTCCAGGAAGCCAGTTTATGGTAAACTTTCGTCGGACGATCACGACGCCATCGACGCATTAGTCCACAACATGGTATATGCCTTAAGTTCAGAGATCTACGAGACCAATTGGACCTCCATGAAGGCACTTTGCACTAGGACTGGATATATGGCATTTTGCAACTACATGGATGAAAACTGGAACACTTGTACGGAGATGTGGGTCATGTACCAACGCTCACGGTTGGCACATTTGCGCGTCCACACGAACAACCATTTAGAGAATTGGTTTGGGCATTTTAAGGACGGGGTAAACTCCAACATGACCATGACGGACACCGTGAAGGCCCTTGTGGGTGCTGATGCCAGGACTTCCAGTGAATACGTGTTCGACAAGACTAGGATCGGGTAACGTGTCAACCGCAACTACGACGAGGAGATGTGCCAAGTTTTGCGCTTTACGACGCATTTCGTAGCAACACACGTGGAGAAGGAGTACGTAATGGCATGTTCGAAGGTCGACAAGTTCAATTTCGACTAAAAGTCAAATCCAGGCTTCGTGGAGGTGACGGGTAAACACAAGACGCATGCTGTGGATTTGAAAACGTGGAGCTGCACTTGCTCGTTTGCTTCTGCAATGCGTCTGCCTTGTCAACACGCGATCGCGTTTCGGAAGTGGAGTAACGCCCCAGGAAGCGTAATACCGCTGAGTTGCATCGATGAAAGGTGGGTTAACTCACAATTTATCCACGTATAAGCCGTGAGTTGTCCATGTAATATCCAATATTGATGTTGTACTGAGGGTCTGACATGTCATTCATTTAGATGGTTACATCCTGCTGAACAACCGATGACTCCGCGGCCTTTTGGGCTTAATGAGTTTAAACCAGGGGAGGCGAAACACAAGGTGCTTGACGCTTATGTTAAGTACAAGGAGGCAGTCAGCGCGTTCCAGGCTATATGCAGTGAGCTAGCCGATATCTCTGATGACGACGAGTACCGTGAGCATTTAGACTTCGTCGTGCAACAATGGAGGAACATTAGGCAGCGTAAACGTGTAAAGGTTGAAAAAACGAAGGTTCCAGTCACGAGAGAAGAAACAGAAACAGATGAAGTGACCTCTCCAGTGACAACCATTCGAAATCGAACCGGAACCAAGCCCGAAATGGAGCAGCTTGCGCTTGAGACCACTCCTGATGACAACGAAGAGAAAAATACTGATAGTGGATTGCGCATCCGTCTGAACCCCAAAGCTGCGAAGTCTGGTAGGCCCCGGTTGAACAGAAAGGAGAGAGAAGCAGACGACAAGAAGAAACGAGCGTTGTTTCACGAGTCAGAAGCCCATAGAAGATGTCTTGGAGAGGTGACATTAATACAACTTGCGCGCAGTCTTCAACTTGAGAAGCCTCCACTTCAAGACACTCTACGTCGGTATCTGCCACTCCAAACCAAGAACAACAACGCGGGTAGCAAGAAACCCAAGTACACTAGAGAGAGTGCGCCTGTGCTGAATGAAAACGCGTTCTACCTACTTCCACCCAAACTGTTGGACAAGTGCGTTGCCGTGCTGCCTGTGAGCAACACCAATGAAACAGCCATCGATGTACTCACCCAGAGTCAAACTACACAAAAAGACGAAGAAACATCTACAATACCTGGACAAATCATGGACAGCAACGGACAAAACCCGGAGATCGAGTGTGTCTACATCGCGGGTATCGGAACATTTTCACGCGAACAGATTGAGGCCATGGCATACTTAGCAAACGTGAAGCGTTCGTGTGATGATGGAATGGCGTTTACCAAATGGTTAACACAGGATGCAGCCAGCGCCATACCAGCAGCACAACAATCGACACTTCAGAGCATGGCAGAGGCCATTGCTCGCGCCTATCCCCAAGATACCATCCCAATTGACGGCAACGATTACCACTACGCGATGCTGTACCGTCTCAAGCCGCCCCAATGGGCTAATGATGCGCTGATTTTGGCCTTTTTGCGCGAGATTGTACAGGACGGGCACCGGCGTTCGCATCGTCGGTGTCGAGGCAGCCTCGGCGTCAAAGAAGAAGGAATCTATGAGTGAAAAAATGAAGACAAAGGTTCAGGAACTACCCACTGAAGCGGATGTACTGCTCATTCCTGTAAATTTTGGGAACATGCATTGGTGTGCAATGATCGTGGATGGCAAGCAGAACAGTGTCCTGTACTACGACTCAATGAACCTGAAGACGTACAAGGACGTACTGGACCGCATGTCGTGGGATCTGGCTAC